AATAATAATTCCTGTCATAATCCTTAATAAATTTTAATATGCTTTTCAGCAGCTTTAATGAAGCGTTTAATTTCACTCTAGTTTACTGATTCCTGACTATTCATTTTAAATGCAGTGTCTCGAGTAGCCCTTGTTTTCCAGCTTCTCACAATGGAACTTTGTGATGAAAAGCGATCATCAACTCATTAAACATTCAATAATTAGAGAACGTCAAACTTAATGGCATATGATTTCTATGTTTTGTGTCATCGAGCTGATAACATTATTCATGGAACGTTCCACGTAATTTGTAAAAATATTTGTTTAATTTGTTGATGTGTGGAGTTTCTTTCCTCTCGATTTCAGAGAAATCAATTTACTTCATTTTAAAATCCCTCTCTAAAATCGTGTTACCATAGTGTTTCACAAACAAATCTTGTTTCACAAACAAAATTCAAGTGTTTTAATGTCTTATCAGACAATTTTAAAACCGCCAACAGCAACAGGATTTTGGGCAGGAAGTAAAATTGATAAGTGAAAATAATTTGTGTAAGTCTGAAGTTAAACGTATTGATCGTATTTTGATTATTGAGAGAAAAAGTTTTCATATTTTCTAAACAGAATAAAAATAGTTAAGTTATCCATGTTGTTAAGTAGTCTTCCTATCATAATATCGTCTACCCACACTGCGTCTCAGATTAAATTCGTGACCTCACACTCGCTTAAGTGTTAAGAAAAATAGAAAAAATCACAGAAATTTGAACTGTCACACATCAAAAACAAGTTTCCATAAAAAACATATGGAATTTAAATGAACAATGTTATTCTTTTGTATTGAACTAATTTTTTCAAAATTGTATTTGATTCTTAGATGACATAAGAGAGCACGGGAAGAGCAGGATTTACTTTATGCAATAAATGGTCCGCGCTTTAAATATATAAATTCATACTGATTCTCTTTTCCATTTCATATTCCAAAATAAAGTATAGACTTAGTTTTTTTTCATTTTCAATAAACAAATATCTTGATGTTGAAAATCAGGCTTTGATAACAAAGCTACAACGTTCTTGAATTTTGCGGAAAACATGTGTACTTCACTTTCTTTGACAAAAAAAATAATATATGAGCACAGCCAACGAGCAAAAAATTTACACATATTTTTATCTTCAGAAACAGATCTTTCATTATGCAATTCCGTATTTTGGATCAGAGATCAAAGTTCGTGGTTGATTTCAATCTTCGTTATATTACTCACTAGAAATTTGAAATAAGAACAATAAAATATGTGAAAAAATTGTGTTGTCGATGTTTGAAGTTTCTTTCCATTTGATTTAACAGAAATGAATTTACTACATTTTGAAATCAACATGGTTTGCACCCACGGAGCACAATTAACTGCAATGTAACGTCAAAACATAGCGTCAAGAATTAAAAAAAAATACTATCCCTATACATTTTACAAAATTGAATTCAATGTCCATTCATTAAATCCCTGATCTAGTACACTAGTATAATATCTTTGTAAGAATTACTGTCTTTGTACAACTTCCATTGTTAAGGTTTTTAATTTCTTTTAATACTTAATTCTGTTTTCACAGGATAATAACTCCGAAGCACCTATCTCTTTCCATGACCTTCCAACTTTTTAAAGTTTTTGCTCAGACTTTCACAATTAAAACGTTTTTTCACAGATTGTTCTCATCCGATACAGAATCTTTATCACTCAAATACCACCTGTACTATTTGTACACACATTCACAACTTGCTTGTGACATATTTTTTTATTCCTCCAATATTTTCAGAGTTTATTGTGGATTTTTCCTCAGTAAAACACAAAATTGCATTGTTATCTGCTGCTCCGTGACGTTCTAAAACATCATCGTTTTTGTCGTTTTCAATGACCTTCCTATCTTCTCAAGTGGATTTCTTTTCAACAAAGCATTATATTAAACCATATTTGGAATTCAAATCTAGTAATATTTTTTATTTGAAATACTAGGTTGTTCTTCGATTTTGCTCCAATTTACAGAGAATATGACTACAGTCGTTTTTAGTGTATTGTTGTAAGTTATTTAAGTTTGACCTGCTCCGTGGTTTGATTTTTACATTTTTAAAATCTGGATAAGTTTTGAATAATCGTCATTTTTGACAAAAAAAATAATTCAAATTTTTTGTGAAAAATATTTCTATTAAATTTGGAAAACATATGACGTCAAACAAAACGAAAATGAACTTTTCAAACAACCCTCTTATATTTTGAGAAAAGACCTTCCATTGGATACCAACAACTTTGAACTTTAGGCTTTGATCTTGGAGATTGACAACTTTAATAAAACTTTGACATGGACCATAATTTTTGCTCGACTTAAACAACATACAATCAATCAATCAATCTTAGCAAAACTTAGAATAAGCCACGGCTTATTTTCAAGGTTCTAGGGTATCATTGAATAGAATTCACTGTCCAGCTGTTTACTTCTACAGGGAAATAAATGTAAATAACATTAATTAAAATAAACTGGCCTTTTGAAAAAAAAGGTAAAGAATACTTGGATACATTACAAATTGTGTAATATACCGTGAATTTCTATTATTTAGAATTTACATCTAAGGGCAGATCACTCCAACTGCAGAAAAATACCATAAAATCAGAACTCATTAGTGCACAGTGTAAAGAGGGTTCTTAAACAGAGAAGGATGTCGGTTGTAAAATGTAGATATTGGAAAATAAGCAACAAAACAAAGAAATGTGGATAAACATCACACACATACCTTACTCTCACACACTTTCGAACGCTCTCTCTCTCTCTCACCTCAACCCATCACAAAGTGGTCATTCAGTGCTCCAGCTGTTTAAAGAGGCTGGGGGTGGCAGCCGTTTTCGGACTTTTTCGATTTCCTTTAAAAGAAGAGCTCCATATAAAGATATACAAAAATGATCAAATTTTAAAACTAAAATGTATGATTTTTTTCTTTGTCAAATAAATGTTGACAGCTTAAAAGATACGGTATCTAAAAAAAAACAAGATAAATCTGGTGGTTAATTTGTGGTTAATTTGTTGACCCCCGAGCCCCCTTAAAGCTATGTGGGCTGCATTTGATCCCGATCTTAAAAAATAGGAAAAAGTCATTCAGTGTTCCGGATGTTTAAGATAATATGGGCTGCATTTTTGAAAACTTTATTTTGCTGTTAAGATATAATACTATGACACATTTTGATATAACTTAAAGAGCAAGAGCCATGTTAGGCCTTATTTGGCCCTGAGAATTTCCGAAAAATCAAAACCGCTCAGTTTAGGTTGCAAGTGCAGTATTTATTACTTGGAGTGTTGGTGACCATGTATCTATTAATTGTGACGTAATTTTTCATCTAGTCAATTGATTATGACGTCATCAAATGCGTCATTTTCCTCATTTTGTGTAAATTCCTTTGAAAATGGACTTAAATTGAGGATTTTTTTAAATATTTCATATAGAGCACAACCTCTGATCCAAAATATGCAAACACATAATGAAAGCTCTGTTTCTGAAGATCAAAACACATTTTTTATTTTTTGGATCGTGGGCTGTGCTCATATCTTAATTCTTTGCTGAAGGTAGTGAAATACGCATATTTCTGCAAATTTCAAGAACATTGCAATTTCTCAAACCATGTTTTCCAATATCTGGATTCTCAAAACGAAATTTTATTATAGAAAATAAAAGCACCAAGTGTCTACTTTATTTTGACATATAAAATGCGAAAGAGGGTGAATCTTAATTATTTGATATAAGTACAGGGCCATTTATGCATAACTTGGCTCTACCTCTTTGTTTGATCAATTAGACTAAAATAAAGCAGACGAAAAACTTCTATATACAGTTTTGTATAAGAAATCATTATTGTCCAGAACAACAATAATGTAATGTTGATTCATTCGAAGCATTTAAATAATTCTTCCATCAAAAATATGTACAACAGAAGTTAATCAACGTTATTTTTTTCTGTCATTATAATTGTTATCAACAATTTTTTGCAACAAAAAATTCCGACATCAAAGTTGCAGCTCATGTTGCTTTGACGTGTTACTTATACATGTATGTATACTGTTTAACTTTTTTTGACACACTGTCCAAAATATCAAATCAGTGTCTGTATTCATCATAATCAAACGCGAAGACTTTGCTACTGGGTTAATATCATAATCCTGAAAAATGTTGTTTAAGTGACACACTGTTTGGTTAATATTATATTCCTGTTCTTTGGATTGTACGTTGTAAAAAACTTGAATATTGCGGTCATTTTTTGAAGAAATCAAAAGTTTTTTCTCTGTTGATTCTCTGCTTTTTTATGCCATCCTCAATAATTCAAAGAGAATAGAATTGTTCAAGCAGAATTAAAAAAAATACATACATCTCTTCTTTTCTTGCTGCTAAAAAAAGTGCAGATTCTTCTCGTTCCGTATGACTTGGATAACATGAACTAAAATGGAGATTTTGATGTGTATCTATCGGTTTGTAGTATACGTCCGTCGGAAGAAATTCTCTATATTTTGTTTAAAAGGCGTCAAAAACGGAATGCTTTCTCAACATTCATCTATTTTGTAGTTGATATAAGGATCTACATCGTTCATAATATCTAAGTAAACTGCTTAATTTACTGGATTATTTTTTAATACTATTTTACTAGACTCACAGGTGAAGACTCTGGAAAATGATATTTTTAACAAGTCATTCAGTGCTTTCTTTCTAATTCTAAACTGCAAAGAAATCATTCCGTTATAACTTAAGAAAAAGTATATAAGATATACTTTTTTGCATCTGTTTTTCATTGATATACCAGTATATAAAGTTTATAACTAACCAAGTTTGTACTTTTTATTACACAGGATTATTTCTATCTATACACTTAGTACTACCTAAATGAAAATAATACATATTGTAAATAACACTGTCACTTTAAGATAAACAAACGGAATTCGGCATTTAAATAATTCTGTATTAAAGTAACACAGGGAAGTTTTTTCTCCTACTGAAGTAAACGTTTGCAAAGTGATATAGGAATCACGGGGAACATATCGTCTTGATTCCCAGAATGACTCTAAATTTGTGGACGTTAGTTTTCTGTGTTCTGATGTACGGACCTGTGACGGAGGCCTGTCTTAGTGTCTGTAGCTGTTATAGGATTCCTTCATGTAATGGGACGTTTGTAAACTGTCATAATAAAGGGTTAATTAAAGTACCTACCAACATCCCCACAGATACGTGCAACATGTAAGTAAATGTTTCAAAGTATTCTTACGTAGGACAAAAGATGTAGTCGAATTCTCATGTATTAATTTTTTCTTATTCAAAGTGATGTTAATTTATAATAGCCATCAGTTTGATTTGACATGATGATCATATTGTGATTAAAAACTTGAAAAATAAAAAATAAATAATAGATTTTTTTTTTTAAAATGAGTTCAGCTTAATATCTAATTTTTTTTTTTAAATAATGCTTCGACCAATTATAAGCTAAAAAGTTTAGCAACATTCAATGATAAATTTCTGATAGCTAATAAATTAAAAGCATTAAATTTGAATCGTAATGACTGCGATCATAATTTCGAATACGATAAGCAATTCTTCTTGCAGAATTTTGAATAGATCAGAGGTGAGAATTAGTACAATGGAGGTGTTTAAACATTTGATATATTGTTTTGTTTAGAAATCGGTCCACGCATAAAAATTCGAAAACTATTTCTTTGTACATTTTCTTACTATTTAAAGATTTTCCACAAGAAATTTAATTTTACAAAATAAAATTAATATATATATTTTCAATTCTTGAAGAGCCCCCTCCCCAATCATCCACGTTTGCCATTAACGTAAGTCAAATTATAGTTTGATGATTGAGCTTTAATTTCTATATCGAGCTGACCAATATATCAGGAAATCTCCTTTGACGAATATAATTAAAAGGGCATTACACTTAACTCTGAAAAATAAAAGGTGGAATCAGGTGCCACGGATGAGATTGCATTCCGTCTTGACTAATCAGAACCGCCATGAGCCCTAGCTATTGATCAGTACTGACAATTATGAGCATATCTCACTTTTCCAAATGGTGCAGGTTATACTGGGTATTGAAAGGAAAATGTTTAATGTAGTTGAATGTTTTATTGTACATTTTTCAGAAATCTTGCAGGAAAAAAGTTACCACGTTGGAAGATGATGTGTTCGACAGTTTTATGATTTTTGAGATACTGAAAGTAAATTTTTAAAGAGTCATATATGATAGCAATAATATGTTCACAGAAGGGCATGTCTTAAATCCCTATTCAACAGTTGTTAGAGTCGCAAAGAAAGGATTCGATCCCTACATTACGGGTTCGAATCCAACTGTGGAACACGTAGACTGGTTCTTCGGATAAGCCCGTAAAAACCAAGATCTGTGTCGCAGTAGGTGCTTGGAATGGCTGTAGTTGCCGAGTATAAGACAAAACTTTCAGCCGTCTACCGGCAAGCGGTGTTGACAACATACATGTGTAAATGTCTTCAGTGAGACGTTAAACAACATACAAACAAATAAACAAACAATTTTTGCCTCAAAGTCCTTGTTTGCTTAAACAACTGCTTGCACGGCTTAAAATATATCTCCTATATTATTGATCTGCATCATTAGTACATTGTATATTATAAAATCATGGATTAATAATGTCTAGAGAAAGTTGTAAATATATTTTTCTTCTAAATTATATGTTTAGCTATCAAACACATAGATTAATACATTTTTGTACGATCTGAATTATGATCTAGCCATTATACAAATGTGAAATCCATGTTCTAGCTGTTAAACAGATTATATTATTGAGTCATGCGTATCGAATACTCAGCCAATTACCAACATTATAGGTATTTATATGTGGATAGAAAAACAAAATCAAAAACAAAATTACATAATATACAATTCTAGACACTTTTGATGGTGAATATATAAGGATTGTATATCACGGGATTTATATTGCATCCAAAGCTTCCTAAGGATTCCATTTCCATTAAATGGAATGAATTTCAGCCGTAAAAAGTAATCATAAAGGTATAGATTACTACTTGAAATTTCCGTTTTTACTTTTTGTGCGTAAGACATCGAAATAATAAAAACATAATCTTGTACGAGTACTGATTGACCCTACTATGAATAGGTTTTGAAATCCGATGACTATGTAGTTACTGTGTTATGAATTGTTTTCGCTTGTTAATATTATATAGGGACTATAAATAGACTATATAATAATAATTAGGCCTAAATAGAATTATTGTTTGTTTGGAATCGCCTCCCGCCTCATTGAAATACCCCCTTATGAACAAAAGTTATTGACCAAAAGTATGAAGATTCGTTTATTGCCCGTTATCACATACACAATGCAGAACACTGAATTGTAGTGTCAGATCTATGCAAAATTAAGTTTTTTTGTTGATGGTAAATACTTTTTTCAAAAGTCAGAAAATGTGTTTACCGAGATTTTTATAAAAAATCTAAAATTTACCTGGTATCTTCAATTTTGAAAAAAAAAATTAATTTCCCTCCCTCCCTCTTGTGTCTGAATCCCCCCAGGCGGCAATTCCAAACAAACAATTTTTTAAGGGTGGCCTTATTGTTTAATTATACTATACGTTTATAGCTAAAATACTACAGGAATCTCAGAATATAAATCATTTTCAGAGATCTTGGATCGAATCAGATAACCACACTTGGGGACAACGCCTTCTACGGTTTGTCAAACTTAACGCGACTGTAAGTATTTTGAAATATAATAATGAGTCTGTTCTGAAGAGATAACATATCATATTCAATATATATAATGACATATAAGGAACGCCGTAACTGCCTTATGTGGAGAACGTGCATTATATGCTGATAATTTGTCATTATCTGATGGTATTTTGTCATTATATGATGGTACTTTGTGATTAAATGATGGTATTTTGTCATTATATGATGATACTTTGTCATTATATGCTACTACTTTTCATTATATGCTACTACTTTTCAATATATGCTACTACTTTTCATTATATGCTCTCCACTGTACTACTTTGTCATTATATGCTACTACTTTTCATTTTATCTACTACTTTGTCATTATATGATGATACTTGAACATCATATGAAGATAATTTTAAATAGGTTTGACATCGGGATCAGGATACCGTTAACTAGTAAACTAGTTTAAGGGAAAAAATGGCGCAAAATTGTGAATACGCGATCACATTGAAAAGCATCATCAAGGAACTAATGATGGGTCTGCAGGTCATCGACAGATTTGTAGAGGACAGAAGAGATGTTGATGATATTTTAAGCTTGAGCAATGAACAGTTGAGCAGTTCTGGAATTACTACTATTGGCGATATAATTCGTCTAAGAGAAGTGGTCAAATGCAAAACCGAGAGAAGTTCAAACACCAGTGGCGAATTTGAGGGCCAGCGGTAAATCTAGTCTTCCCGACTCCCGACGGTTCCGGATTTAAGATTTTCAGCGATTTTCTTTTATTGTTCCACAGAATTCATTAAAATTTTTCGTAAAATTATCTAGGCTTAAATGAATTCGTTAATTCATTAAAAACTTCAGGAGACATGCGTATTTTTTACTGAATCAGCAATATGACTATCACCGGCCAAAAAGCGGTAAATCTAGTACTCTATTATAAATGTTAAAACCAAAAAGGGACACCGATGTTTTCGTAGAATCGAGATTAAAAACAACAAAATGAAGTATATATATATATATATATATATTTAAAAAAAAATAAAAGCAAAACCTCATTTACATACCAGATAATTTGTACGAACAAAAACTCTTCCATATTTTCTTTTTTTAATTTAAAGTTATGCTCATTAATTATCGATACATCATGATACATAGCGATGAGCGGAGACGTCAGGTTTCGTACATCATAATCAGTGATAATATTGATATTATTTTGGAAGATATTTCTTCTTTAAAAAAGATAGAATTAGTATTTCAGTGAAATTGGCGGTGTTAAAAAAATATGAACATATTAATTTTCATAAAATTCATAAAATGAAAATGACTTTTAAAGTCAAGTGCCTTATGAATTTCAATTATATAACTTTTTAAAATATGTCAATGGAGACGATAATCACATATTATTAAAAGCTTTATTGCAGCAGTGTTAGCTTAGGTAAAATAATTAATTTCTTAATCATCTAATACAGTGAAAGTGAAGAGATACTCTGTCAGTCTGTAAAATAAAAAAAAAATTGTAATTCTGTATGGTAAACTGCTGCTAAATCAAAGAAATTGACATAATGCTATTTGTGCTTTTACAGTAATTAAGTTACAAAGGTACAACCAAATTAAAAAATAAATAAATAAAAGGGGGCTCCGAGGTAGAACCATGTCGACGTCGTAGAGCCCGGCTGTGAACATGATGTGACAAAAAATTCTATTAGTATACAAGGAATAGAAAAAAATTAAATATTTGGGTGTTGTTGTGCATAAAAATTAACTGGCTTGTAAATGAGGTTTTCCTTTATTTTTTTTTTAAATTATACTTCATTTTCAATTTTTGTTGTTTTTAATCCGCAGCATTGTTAAGGCTTGAAAAAGGGGGCGGAGCCTAATTTATACGGGAAAAGTCTACTGTGACGTCACACAAAAATATGACTTTTATGTTTTTCTCATAATACCTGAAAATAAATAATTTGCAACTTTTAACTGTATTAGCATAATAAGCAACAATAATACTTATCAATGCATTAAAAAAACTTGCTAGTTAAATCCCTGGGAGCTGGTTATAAACAAAGCACTGATCGCGATGAACTTGTAAACATGACGTCATTTTGGTAAAAATGACCTATTACATGTACTGTGAGAGACATATTGAGGAATTTTTAAATAATGAAAAATGTGTTTTATTATTAAATGGAATATTATTTACAGGTTTTAAATAGTCGTTTAATACCAATGTATATGCTTTGTTTAGTGCAAGTATTCATTAACTATCAAGAGAATGTATTTTATTAATTATGTCGTGTTTTTATGTACAGGTTACGTATATTTTACAATAAAATGCTTCATAAAATCGCTCTTTCGCAAGGGCATACACTTAATCTACCTTAACCATTTTTTGAATATAGGTAAAGGATATTTTTCTTAACCTGAAAAGTGCTGCTGCTTTCTTTAAATCGAGGGCGTGATTTTATAAGTACACAAAATATATGGTAAATGTCAAATATATTTAGACATTGGCTTATTTACCTGAAAATTTAACTATTAAAACGCGAATTCTATTCAAAGCAGCAGCACTTTTCAGAAACTACAAAGTAAGCAGAAACAATTAATAGCTTGAATTTTTAATTTCAACTAGGGTATGCCCTTGCGATATTGAAATTTGTTCATGACCTATACACAGACTATGCATTCATCACGTGACTGTCCATCGATAGGACCAAACTTATACAGTACAGAGTGGGTTATACTATGCTATTTCCATAAGTATTAAAGTTCTGTGATAATAAACAGCTTAATTAAAATAAAATTATTTTTAAAAAATCCCCCTTTTTTGCACGTCTATTTTCCGTTGATTTCTCATAGTAGGCCTTAACAGTGCTGCGTCGCGATTCGGTATTTGTTTTTGGTTTTCACATTTATAATAGAGTTCTAGATTTACCGCTTTTTGGCAGGTGAAACATCTGGTTCAGTAATAAATACACAAATTTTTTAAAGTTTTTTTATGTACGAATGAATTTATTTAAACCTCGAAAATGTGCTTGAAAAGTTTGAATAATGTGCACCTTGAAAAAGAGAAATCGTCAAAAATCAAAATCCGGGACCGTCAGAAAAGACTAAATTTACCGTTTGCCCTTATTACGGCACAGGTGTTTGAACTTCTCACAGGCTTGCATTTGACCATTTCTCTGAGACGAATTTGATCGCCAATAGTAGTAATTTCAAAACTGCTCAATTGTTCATCGCTCTGACAAGCTTGAAATATTATCAACATCTAATCTTTCTTCTACAAATCTTTCGATCACATGCGGACCCATAATGTTGAAGTATCATTATATAATGACAAGATGTGTTTGTAAAACACTTATGCCCCCCGTATGGCAACATAGCAGAGATTAAAATTTTCTTAAATGCAAATTTCATTGATTGGTACCAAAAGTAGGGTACTCTCACTGGAAAACAATAGTGAAAATTGAAAGTAAGTCAATGTTAAAGTTTTTTTATGAAGTACAAAAATCTTCAAGGTCAAAAGGTCAATGTAATTGGTATCAAATGAAAGGTCTTGCCACAAAGAATACTTATGTTGAGTATGGAAGCCCTAACTCTAACCGATCAGACGTTATGGCCAAGATTGATATTTTTCAAAGTAGGTCAAACTCCAAGGTCAAGGTCAAAGGGTCAAAGTTCTTACTTTCAAGTGAAAGGTCTTGTCACAAATATTAAATATGTTAAGTATGAAAGCACTAGCCCTAACCGTTTAAAAGGTATGGTCAAGGACAGCTTTTTTAAAGAAGATCAGTCTCAAAGGTCAAGGTCAAAGGGTCAAAGTTATTGGTATCCAATGAAGAATCTTCTCACAAGGATTACACATATGAAGTATGAAAGCCATATCGCTTACCGTTCAAAAGTTATGGCCAAGGTTAAAGTTTTTTCACAAGCACAGATATCTACAAGGTTAAGGTCAAAGAGTCAAGGCTGTTGGTATCCAATGAAAGGTCTTTCAACAAAGTTTACATATGTGAAGTAAAAACGTCCTGGTATCTACTGTTCAAAAGATATGGACAAAGTAAAAGTTTAAAATTTTCGTGTAAAAGTGGCTCAAACTCCACGGTCAAGGTCAAAAGGTCAAATTTGGTGGTAGCCAAAGAAAGTTCTTGTCACGAGGAATACGCATGAGAAATATGAAACTCATGGCTTAACTAAATCAAAAGTTATGGGCAAGGTTAAAATTTTTGAGGACAAACGGACAAACAGAGAGACAGACAGACAGACGGACACGACAAAAATATATACTCCCGAAACTTCGTTTACGGGGGCATAAAAAGTAGTAGCATATAATGAAAGTAGTAGCATATAATGAAAAAAAAGTAGCATACATTTATAATGAAAAGTAGTAGCATATAATGACAAAGTAGTAGCATATTATGAAAAGTAGTAGCATATAATGAAAGGTAGTAGCATATAATGACAAAGCACCATCATATAATGACAAAATACCAGCATATAATGGCAAAGTACCAGCATATAATAAAGTTCTTCACATAAGGCAGTAACGGTGTTCCATAGACATGGGGAAAAAGCAATGTTCTAACCAAGAATTATAGAATTAAAAAAAGCTTGAAAATCGACTGTAATTTTTATTCAAATAAAAATTGATATATGTCTTCTGCAATAACACCAGTATCCTTAAATCTCGGTTTATAAAATATTCAACTTCAAATCTGAATTTGAACAATTTCATATTAAATGTAACTAAACGAAACATTGATAGATACTATGAATAAATTTGACAGAAAGAAAAATACAGAATCGTTATACATGCAGCTGTACAGTTAAGTTGCATATAACCAGACCAAAGAATATTTTGTTTTATATCATTTTGTTTTATTACATTTTATGAAACAATCAAAAAGAGCATTATAACATCTTGCTTTAATCCCATGGCAAAGTGCCATTACACAAACAAAAATCATAAAAAAAAGTTATTACATTTACACTTTGCGTTTAATGCTAGATTAATGCTAAATTTTGGGGGGTACCTTTTTTGTGGTCGAATGGGGCACATTCAAGATATGGACCATTTTTCGTGCTACACAATTTCATACAAAAACTCCACAATAAACAAAGGAATGGACAAATTAAAAAAATAAATGATGAAATGTTTTGTTTTTCACAAAAATCATGCAATTTCCATCCCTCTTTTAAAAAATGAAAAGAAAATCGGAGTTAGCCTTTAATGCAGTGAAAAGGGGACAAATCAAAACAAAAAATAGGACTTATTTTATCCAACTAAGTCGCAATGGATTTACATCACATCAACAAACGATTGCAATACTGTATTATTTCTATAACTTAGATAATTCTTACAATATGAAATAATTTTCTCTCCATATTCATTAAAAAATATTGAGTGTAAACACTGCAACATGTCCGATGAGAAAGACTAAAATCGTGTACCTTTGGTTGTAGTGTTTTTTTCTAACTCACAAATTGAAATAAAACAAGATAAAATTAATTAATCTGTAGCAAGAAATTGATACCTCAAAATAAATTATGTTTCAAAGTTGTTTATTGGTAATTTTTTTTCTTAAAACATGTAAATAATAGAAATTTCAGAATGAGCCAGCTTTCAACAAGCACAGTCAGTAGATCTAACAAATATGCAAGTTTATCGAAACATTTCAGCGCAATTTGACGTTATTTTAATTGTGATGTTATTGTATTCAATTGTGATGGCAGTCAAGGGTACTGTGACGTGCCTGAATCGACACTGCGTTAAAAAGATCAAGAAGATAGGGCCCCGTTAATTAAGAATAGCATTCATGCGTTCATCTAAGGACATGCCCTGTGCGAAAAGGAAGTGATGTAATTTAATTTGTAATCCATGTATATTGCTCTCTTAATTTTTGGATTTGTTCTTTTTGAAAGAGGGGGGGGGGGTGCTCCGCTTTGCAGTTTGCAGTTCCCTTGTTAACACAGTCCTAGACCAATTTGTTTTGAAAATTCGTGACACTTTATTTTCTAATATGTATGGTTAAGATGAATCGTACAAATATTGTAGAACAAATGACATTTTTGAAAATCGACTATTATAAATGGGGAAAAAGCAAGTAAATTATTTGAAAAAATTAAACATCAGCTGAAAAAAATATGAAATAAATCCGACCGGAAGCAGAACTTAAATCATTTTATACGCTAAACCGATAATGATCTAGAAGGTAAATACATTATAGTTTGTACATTATCTTATATAAATAATATTGCTTAAATTTAGGACATGGGCTGCATTACTATAAAATAAAATTGCGATTTCCAGTTTCTTATATAAAATAGTGTACATTTTTTTTTATATTATAATGAAACCTATTGAGATAACGATCAGTATTCATGATAAAAAGTCCATAAAACAATTCAAAATAGGAACAAAGCAAAAATGAGACTGAGACATGCTTTCTGGTCTATCCTGAATAATAGATTCAAATATCAATGATATATATCTTGGTGTTTTGAGTTGAAACAGTGATTTATAAAGCGACTGGAGGAGTATTTTAAGAATTTCCCAAACTTACTAAAGTTGAGAGCTTTGCAGTCCCAGTCAATGCTTTGCAAATAAATTTATATTCAATTGAGAGGGAGTCCAGTGAATATAAAATAATTATTTTCTGATAATTTAATTACTTTAAGAGTTTTAATTTTCAATGTGATTTAATGTAGAAAAAAAAGAAATTATGTATTTTGAATACAAGTAACGTAATTTTGTAATAAATCTAAGAAATAAAATTCTGTTTCTTGTGATATTTAGCGTCGAGAACAAAAAGATGCCTAAATTCTTGTAAATGGAAACAATCTGAAAAAAGATATCTGTATAAGCTTGAAACTCACTCTACAACTGTGTTCAAATCTTAATGAACAATTTCATTTTGATGGAATAAATTAAATGTCTGTTAAAAAGATACTTGTATAATATCTATCATAAATGAATCAAAACCAATTTGTTTATTTCAAAAATCTGTTTAGGGGGTTACGTGACAACGAGATAACCAATATTCAGACCAATGCTTTCAATGGTTTGCCAAATTTACAGGACCTGTAAGTATATATATCCATCATCTGTAAGTACCTCCTCTAAGTACCTTGATCAATTATTTGTTTATTTATATGCTCATGTCTTATCTGAATATAATTATATTTTATTATTATTTGGGCATACTTAGGCCTACTATTCATTATATTTAAATTCCATTTATTGTCATTTGGCTTTTGAGAAATAAAACTATAACTTTTCTTTATCGCAGCCCGGAGGACCGGGCTGCTCTTTACATATAAGTTTAAGTGTTGGTGCATGGTGATTGGGGTGGGAGAAGTTATTCAGAATTAAAGGTTTTCTAAACATTGAAAATGTTGTTAATCAGAATGTTCTTTCCCTTTCTAAATTATATTTACTTCTATAAAATGAATATGTAAAAATAAATATGTTTTACATGTTTAATATAAAAAGTCGCTTATCATATACTATCGAAAAAACGACAGATCCCATTTTTTAGAATATCGAATTTTACTTCTCGCATAAAAACGCACTCTGCATAGTTCCTGTTTTATATTCTAAAATTGAAAATTAATACATTTTTGAATATAGGTGATACATGTGTCTAACTTCAATTTATATCTTATGCAGCCAACATTTACATGAGGAATTGATCAAGTTCAAAATGGTATCATTTTTGTTTGATTTTTATCCGACTGTAAGTTTCAAAATACTCTCGACTATCGTCGCCATCAGTTAGACGCATGCCGTTTCACACATACTAAAGCGGTTTGATGATCAAGACTCATTTCCATTGCTTACTTTATATATTTCCCGGGCGACAATTGATGGTTACATTAATGTTTACTTGTTATAATTTGAAGTACATTGATTGATTGATTGATTGATTGTATATTGTTTAATGTCCCCCTCGAGAATTTTTCACTCACGTGAAGACGTCACCGTATGCTGGTGAAGGGCTTCAAATTTAGACCAACATGTATACTCGGCACTCAGGGCCATTGAGCAGTTAGGGTTCGTTATCGTTCCAGTGCATACCGTGACACGGGATCACGTTTTAAAGGTCTTATGCGAAAGACCTGTGACTTTCACTTCTGATACCGAGCGCTTGGCGAAGGAACAGTCAGTACCTATTTTTTTCGTCTTAGGTTTGACGCAGCGCCGCGAACGAGAATCGAACCTGGGCCTCCCGATCAGGAAGCGAACACCTACCACTAGGCTACCATGAACGGTCAAAGGTTTAGAAATAAGAAACAGCATCTTCATTAGCTAACGGCTTGCGAAGATAGATAAACAGAAATGGCACGTAAACCAATTATTTAATGTGAATTACCTAACTGAAATAAAATTCACCAATGAACGATAAAAACATTATATAATCAAAGTGAAAATTTTATCAAACTTCTCTCAGTACCACTTTTTAAAAACCCTACACTTCCCCTTCTTTGCACTGCAACATGTGCGTGTTTAAATGCTGGTGGTTGGAGGAGGGGGTAAAAACTATGCCTCATGGTTAAATACCTTGATTGACTAAGCCCCCCCCCCCCTCTACACCGGCTCGACGCTAATAAGAAATTAAATTCACATGCTAATATCAAGTCAAGTGACAATCCCTATGTTCTAGCAAAACATATCTGCAGAGTAAAAAATTCGTTGTGTCATTTGAAACTCTAATTCATTTAGTATTAAAAAAAATCTCCTTTTCAAAAAACTTCGTACAATATAAGTGACATTTTGGCACTGTAATTCATATCCGCAAACTTAATCGGTTTTGTTCTTAGGGAGCAGTTCATGCAACAACTTTGATGAAATTCAAAATTAATAAATATGTCTGATAAGAAATGAAAAACAAACTAAAACAAACTAAAACCTAGATCATAACCAAAATTTAGTCAAAGTATATAGCGACTTTTCAAAACATTTATTCATAACTTTTATGTTTTATAAATAAAGAATTATTTTATCAAGGCAATGACAAAATAACGCCTCAATTATATGCACATGCTAACGATAATAAACTTGGATCATGTCCATTATGATTTCTGCTGACTATGTTGCACATCGTGAGGGCGAACAGCATAATAACATAATAAATGTAAAGTGTAGAAAAATACCATTGCGTTAATTACAGCTCCAGCATATAGTTATAGAATTTGGGTATCTTAAAAGGAGTTTGGTTTTTAAGATCTCATCCGAAGGACTCGCAACTTCCACTTCAAGTGCCGAGCGCATGGCGAAGAAACAAACAGTTCTTATCCATTTTTTTTTATCGACGCCGGTCATTCGCGGTCCAGATTAGAACTCACGATCTCCCGATCACAGAGCGAGCGCTCTACCGACTAAGCTTCCATAAACGGTAAATAAACGCAGGCTTATTGATGGTATGTTGTTACTATGTCCAATTCGAAAATATTTAACTCATAAAGAGACATCAGCATATGCCGACATTGGATGCAAAATTGTATCCTTACTCAGCAATCAGGGCCATTATGCAGTAAAGTAAGGTTCCCGTGCTTACGCCTATGTGACACACGGCCTCGGTTCAAAGTCTTTTGCGAAGGACCTGTAGCTTTCACTTTAAAGTGTTAAAAGTGTCAAGTACTTTGCGATAGAATAAATGGTATTTTTTTAACCTAAAAATTAGATACGTCGCTGCAGTGATTTACAACATTCAAAACACGGATTGAGTGCATATCAATTAGCCATCCATTAGTGGGGGTTAATTGATACTTTAATTGGCGCAGGCTCCTTACATCATATGAACCGTTTTATAAGAGAAAATCAAAATTAAAAACAAACATTTATGATTAATTCAAACTTATTATAAGTTAATTAGTTAAAATACTATGGAAATCTATGTAGGTAAATCTCTTATAACAATTTCATGAAACAATTTTCAGAGATCTTCAACAGAATCGGATAAACACCTTAGGAGACAATGCCTTCGACAGTTTGTCAAATTTAGATACACTGTAAGTAAAAACTGTAAGTATGTAGAGATATTATAATGTTCTATCCGGATACCATATTAAAATACTAATAGATAAGAATTTAGCTTTAAATTTTTGTTGAAATGAGAACCTGTATTTTTTATTCTGTAATATCTTGAAATTTCATCTGGAAATACTAATTTGAACAATTTCATGTTAAAAGTACCTCAACCAAAACTAAGACAGAGTATACACAAAATTAAATTGACTGATATATAAATTTTCCATTTTTAAAAGCATTATTATAGATAAAAGTGACATATGTTAAAACCAAAGCGGATTGTACTGAAAATGAAATTAGAATTAAGATTTTTTTTTTCGATTGACTCTACATTACAAGAAAAATCAAGGTAAGTGCACTATTCGCAGTGGAAGTTTAGAAAAAAAACTTAAACACCAGCCTAGAAAAGGGTATGCTGAGGATCGTCCCAAAAACATAAGACATAAAAATTAGTAGTTTGTCAAGCGACTTGTATTAGAAATGAAAGTCAAGATCTTTAGGATGAGACGATAAAAAACAAGCTTCCATTCTGTGTCCGACGATAACATGAATGTTTTCAATTTTGAACTTCAGCCTCGTTTTCAGAGTTGAAGATGTGTTCTTTTACGAATCTTAAAGTCCCTTTAACGTACAGTGGCGGGTCATAATATGATAAACAAAATGGCGTCCCAATTGCAAAAGGAAATTGACGCTTTTATTTACCTGTAACTCCTCTCAGTATACATGTTTAAATAAAAAGGGCACATGACAGAGTAAAATGACGTATTATGTAATAATAAGATATGACGTGTTATGTTTATGATGCCATAAATTACGTCATTCCGTATGTAAACAGAGAATGGGAAAAGCGAAAGATTTATCAGCAATCTTAAAACAAAGGTTCGTAAACAGTTTTCAGCGTGGAACAAACCCATCAGAAAGTGCCTAGGATTAAACCGATGAACAGTTTGTGCAGTGATAAAGCGCTATTAGGAAAGGGGTTCGATGGAAAATAAGCCTAGAACGGACAGAAAAAAAAAACTTAGTGTGCAGGGCGAACGATCCATTTTGAGGTTACTAAAAACTCATCGCGTCGAACCTCTGAAAGATATCGCTGCCAGATTCAACCAGTTTCGGGGAAATACTATTTCAAAAGTAAATTTAAAAAGATGATTGTTCCGAATTAAATACCAAAGACGAGTCGTAAGAAAAAAAAACATACGAATCCGAGATGTTAACATAAAAAAACGAGTTGAGTGGGCCAGAAAGAAAAGGCATTTGAAAGTTGATGGTTAATGGAATTCTTTCTGATGAATGTAAAGTGATCATTTAATGCAAGATCTCTTCACAAACATTTCGATGAAATTAAAGATGAACCCAATGTTGTAGCATCAAATGTTATTGGTTTTCAGAAACAAGATTAACCATCAATGATGATCAGAATTTTATGATGGAAAGTTACTGGGCTTTGTTTAATCAGGAAAAGAGAAATGACAGCAATCGTCCTCATCATGGAACAGCATTATACGTTAAAGAAGACCATTTGATGACATTTATCTCAAAATTCAGTTAATTTTGCTTGAATTCATCATATAGCTTTAATAAAATTCAGAGATCTTTGAGAAGTGCAGATAATTGTTTTATACAAGTTCCCAGCATGTTCTTTTAAAGAATTTGAACGTGAAGTTATGTTGCACTAAAACCTTTTGTAAACACAGAGAAAAAAAAAATGATAATTCTAAGAGATTTCAATTTTGATTTGTTTACAAATATATATATATAAATATATATTTACAAGTCACAAAAAATTTCTGAACTTTATGAAGTTGAATTTAAAATGCACAGAATTGGTTAAAAAGTTAACTCATGATTCAGGTTCACAACTCGATTTGATTTTCACAAACTTCCCTCATTGTGAAACTGATGTGATTGAGGCATATTGGTCAGACCATGACATGGTTTACTGTACATATACTTCCTAAATCATAAATATGGGACGCATGAGTATCTATTTGGGGGAGATACGTCATCCTGTCCCCTCTAGATCTCCCACCTACCAATGTGCCAGTGTCACTTAGTGACATTTGGTACATTGATTACTGTATATAGGGTTATATTCGCCCTGGATGTGTTTTCACCCTTTCACGCAATTTTGCAACGTTTTAAATTCTCGCCAGTCAGAGTTTTATTGAAGAAATCATTCTGTGTTATAAATATGTCTACCTCTAAGGTGGATGACAGGGGGATAAATACAATGGGGCGAATATTTCCCCGTATAAAGTATCTTATAGGCACCAATTACTTGATGTAGAATTTTGTTTGTTCTGAGGCATGTGTATACTTTAAACTATTTGTATATGCATGCATGCATGCATGGAATAGCCTAAACAAATTTGCAAACAACTCATTATTGATCACCAAACAATTGGACTAAACAGGAATCCTTCATTATGACTTTTTATTGTGGATTAATTTTCAAAAGACAATTTATAAATGGTCAAAATAATTGTTAAGGAAAATTCATGTACCATCAAAGGCAGTTAATCATTCATGTCAAAAATGATGATCATTATATGATGTGTTAATTAATATTCATAAATTATATATATACTGTATTGATGTTTGTGAGTTACTTTTACCCTTACTGTTGAGATTCTTTTCTTTAATGATGCATGAATATCATTAACATGGTATTTTGAATATACATAAAATATTTTAAGATTACATGAATTGTTTACAAAGTTTAATTTAAAGAAATCAATGAGTTCTGCTAAATTATGATTAGATTTGTACTAGAAATATACACTTGCATCAAGTAATTGGTGTCTTTGAAATATGTTCAACACTGTATTCTATAATTGTATGAAGTTAATTCACCGAATATTATCTGTTCATGAACAAATTGCTGTATACAAATATTGTAAGGTTATCAATGTTACGCACATGTATTGTGTCATTTAGTCCCTGCAGAACAATACTGGAGTACATGAGAGTATAAACTTTTACAGTGTATAAGGATTAATATTTTTTCAGATCATATGTAATAACAATTTTTGTGTCAATATTCTTATCATATATGTAATTCAAGTCTTTATGTAATTACTTTATAATCAACCTCATGCAGTATTGTAGATATCACAATTGCTGAGGCTTTAAACAGGCTGAATTGTCAATGAACCAATAGATGCACCTGAAAATGAAATGCTGGCAAGTGTTCACCCATTATATTTAAAGCCATTATCTGTGACTTTATACAAAACTCTCAGAAATTAGTTTAATGATCATGATCATCCAGCATACTTATTGATTTTTTTAAAGTGACTTGTTTATACTTGTAGCTGAATTAGAATTAGATGCATGAATTTTTATAGCACAGCTCGGTTAGAGATTTTTATATATATATACTCACCGTCAATGAAAACGCAACACTCTACTTTTAGGGTGAAAAATTAAATACGGAATATAACTATGTACCAAACAAGTTAAGACATCTTATTCTTTGCCAAATCAGTTATTTAATGGTTGAATGGTTTTCATTCCATTACCGAGAGTTGATTTTTTTTAGCCCTCTTAACAGATAACATTTAAATAAAACACCACCCCCCCCCCCGTTCGACCATTTAATCAAAACATGCTAGTCCGCCATGTACAACAAACATGTACGCAGTCCGATTTCTACCATGCATTAGGTTAATCAATGTCTTTATCTGAGCGAAATATCCTTGGGCATTTTTAATTGCCTGTTGTTCAGATACTGCGATCGAATTTTATCTAACTTGGCGTAGTGTAGTAACTATTGGACTTCCGGTCAAGAAACTGTTTTTTATGCTATTGAAAAACATGAGCCTGATGAGTCGTTAAATAGTGTACATTTGCATCTGCAGCTCTTTATTTCTTGATTTTGAGAATCTCCAGCATTAGCAATGAAAATCAGTCATTTTGAGGAAATAAAGGCATCACATCCGGTAAAGAAAGAAGGATTTTTTCCCGGGATTTTAGTACAATACTTATGATAAACAGCTGCAAAACCATGAAAACCCGAAATATTGTTAAAAATCTTATTAAAAATGCAAAAATGAGATTTCTGTTAAGAGGGCTAAAAAGCAACTTCCGGTAGTGGAAAGAAATTCATTCAACCATTAAATAACTGATTTGGCAAAGTAAAAGATGTCCTAACTGTTTTGGTACATAGTTATAACCCGTATATACTTTTCATCCTAAAATCACAGTGTTGCGTTTTCATTGACGGTGAGTATATATATATCATTTACATCATTTTGTTTTGAAATAATGTTCATTGTATATATGAAACTTTGTGTTGAAATATTTTGACTTGATTATTTATCTTTTTTGATTTGTTGTCTTAAAATGTTTTAGTTTATTGTATATTTTTTTATTTCAAAACATCCAGAAATTGCTTTAAAAATTTACTTTTACTAGCTTTAGTTACCTGTGTAAAGATTAGGAAAGCAACCTGCATAATCAGAGAGAAACTGACAACTCATTCTAAATTATTAGTATATTGCTGATTTCAGTTAACTCCATATTAATTGATATTTAATTTCATCAGCATTGAGATATTTAATATGTGACCTTCATTATCTTATAATCTAATGAGATTCGACTATATATTAAACACTTATACCCGGTAAGTATGAAAAGAGGGGGTCAATGGACAGCCCGTAAAGGGAGGTACATGTAAGCCTGCCTCTATATCACATTATAATTTCTCCCATAAAGGAGAGGAAAAAAGGTAGATTACTATAATTTCTCATGACTAGTCTTTAAAATCAAAATAATTGATTGCAAAAAGATCTTAATCATTCCATTTTGGAATATTACCATCAAGTTTAGATAAGCTGATTCCTGCAGGTACTCCAATTAAATCTTACTTATTTAAAATGCTTCTGAAATAATAGTTGATATTCAAAGTCAGAGTCTGTTGACCATCAAATAATTATTCACTTTCAGTTGCAATCTTTCCAATTTTTGCTTTCGTTATGTATAAGAAAGATTTACTATTAAGTTAACTTAAAAATAAATAAATACAGTGTATTTCGTATCTTTTAAATGATTACTTTGATGTATTGAACTAACCTCTTAACAAATGTTTGAAATGTTTTCAAAGCATCTATGTTTACAGATAATGTTATTGTCAGGAAGTGTGTATTTAATTCTGTCACAAAATTGGTGTAATATTGCATATTTGATACTGTGTGCATTTATGTTTGTTGAATTCATATAAAATTTAGATAGTTGATTGTTATTAACGCCTTTCAGTTTTTTTTTTATTATATTATCTACTAATTCTCTGATAAATTTACAAAAGTCTGTTGAATTTTCTGTTTTTATTATAACCATCATAGCTAATGTTAAAACCCCCCAAAAAGGAGAGAAATGTTATTGTTCATTATTATGCTTTCTGTCAGTTTGTCTCTATATAACCCATACCCTACTATTCTCGTATAGTGTTCAAATGATTTATATAGCGTAAGCATAATATGCCGAAATAGTGCACGGCTTCCATTTCTGATGAAAATCCGACAACGCCCATACCGGGGAGCGAACTCACGACCCCAATATTGTCAGTCCGACGCGCTACCGATTACGCTACAGACGCCGTTGTCTATAGTATTGTACCATAATATATATAAAATTAGTTTCAAATATTTTACACTTAAGATTAAAAATAAACAGAAAAATTCTTCTAAAATAGTTCCCTGCAACCCCCCTTCCTTCACTCTTACCCCCCCTTATGTCAAAAATTTTCGAAAATGACTTTTTTCTTGAAAAATGATGTAGAACCTTAGGTGAATATAACCTGTAAATATTACAGGTGTATCTTGCTCCGTTACGGATTTACAGGTATTCAAAGTATGCATTATTTTTACAGCTGACGTCGTATTTTATAAAATTTTCTCTTGTAGCGACGTCGACGTTATAGCGCCGGGCTCGAGGTAATAAAAATATGAATTACCTATACGCATTAACTTGGTATTGTATTGCCGTTTCGATTTATATATGTGCTTAATTTGTTGTAATTTATATATTTTTTTATTAAAAAGTTCAGTTCATTCTTTTCTGATATTTATTAAAAATATGTCAATGGAGTTCAAATAGCCCTATGATTCGCTGACTTAGAGAAAACATCACAAATAATTGAAAGGTCTTTTATAAAGAAAAATTCACTTTTAATTTTACCGCTTAAGTTCAGCCCAAATCTTTCAAAACTAGCAACAACAAAAAATATTTTAGTTCCCATTAATTTATATTTTTTGATAATTTATGTTAATTACTTGTCCAACCTGTGCCTTCAAAACAGCGACCAAGAGACAGCATTAAGGGACACGGGCTTGCGTTTTTATCAATGAACGCGCCGTAAGGATTTTGTAAAGTATGGTATTTCAATGTAAAAAAAAAAATGAGTACCAATTATCCTTTTTTATAAATGCTCAACTACATATGCATTCTCTTTTCTTAATATTGTCCTAATTTGTTAAAATATATTAGAAGGAAAGGGGGAGGGGGTAATGAAAGAATAAATATAAGAGTACTAGTATAAAGGCAATTTAGACTAGATATATACATGTTAAATCTGTAATTTATTAATAGTAAAAGTGTGTATACTTTTCAGATTTCAAATTATGAAATAAATAATAAAAACATGACCTGAAATACTGAGAAAAAGGGTAAGGCATATTATTCAGCTTTATAAAAAAAAATGTATATTTTCTACAGTACAATCACGTACATGTAGTCTAATAGATTGCCAAACAAAATTATGAGAGTCGATCCTCTTGTGTTTTACGCATAGATCTATGAAAGTGAAAGTTAGACTTAAAATTTCTCAATATTTAAGTCAGTTATGCGATCCGATCTGTAGTTTAAAATACATAAATGTCACAGTTAAAAAAAACAACAACAAAACAACAGGTTTTTATGAGGCAAATTTCACAGGTCAACACTAATATATATCATGAAGATCCTCTGAAAATGTACCAGTTAGTCAAAAGCAAAAAAATATATATTTTAGAGACAAAGAAAAACGTGTAAGTCAGGGGCCTATTTAGAGCAGCTTTTAAAGTCCTCGAACCATTCAGAAACAAACGTAAAACATTTGATTACCGTCTTCATAGAAAAATAAACACATAAAGAAATTTTATAGAGAAGAGAACATGTTACAAGTGCGAATTCTGCACATTGGACTGTCTTCCGAATAAAATGCTTCTAATATATTAGTAATATATATTCTATCCCAGTCTACCCAACATTTTACACTCATACAAAGAAGTTCCGTTGTGTGCAGAAGCGGGAGGATTCTCTGGCCATTCTCTGTCACTACATTAACATCAAATATTCGAACGTCTGACCATCCTTACCAACTTACAAGGAGTCCAAGTGTTCTGAAAGTGGGGGGGGGGGGTTAAGTAGGTTACTTTTGTGTCTTATTCTTCTAGTTAAATTTACCTGGAGACCGGTCCATCGCATGAAACCGCGGTCCCATGTCGCAGTATAAGTGCTGGCACGAAAAAGATCCCTCACTGCTCAAAGGCCCTATAAGTACGGGTTATAGGAATATTTGCAGCTCTTCATGCACCGGCAAATGGCGGCGTCTCCTTATGAGTTAAAAATTCTCGAGATGGACGTTTAACAACATAAACACTTAATCTATTTAAATTTAAAAATTGAGAAAGGGTCATCACCTTAAGTTTCACTGCTAAGGATAAAAGAGGACAAGTTATCTAGAAACCTTTTTTTATACAAGATATTTCCGAAGTTTGCTAGAAACATTTTTTTTATACAAGATATATCCGACTTTTGAGTTTGACATCTGTAGCGGACAGTAAACTAGTATAGGGAACTTACACGTATACTTCCTCGCTGGTAAGCTAGCTTTTCTAGCGATGCGGTCGAGTCTCTCTCTTAGTCTCTCTTTCAGGCAAGTTAAGCAACGGCAAGCCTGTTTAACCCTTGGATGGGTGACCGCTCAAAAACATGGAAAGTAATAAGATATAGGCCTACATCACCGCAATGCTAAATGACATGCAAAAATTTAGGAGCTTTTCAGACTTACATAATTATGTATAGTGTCAACATCATTCATTTAATGATTTGTTTGTATCTTTCATTAAGCACTTTAAACCGAGACTCTGTATCATTTATTATTACAAACGTTGTTAAAGGATAATAATTTGAACAGCAAATTAAAAATTGCATTTTTTATACGCTTTTCATCATTTTACGCTGGTGGAATCTCAATATATTAACAAAATAAACTTTACAATTATTTCTCTTTTTTTCACATTTGCATTTACAGTGGAATCTCAATGAGAAGATTTTTTTACATACACAAAAAAAGTTGACAACAAAAAAAAAAAAAAAAAAAAAATCAAAACTTTACTTCCAAATTATTTCTCTATTATACTGTTGTTGGGGGGCCAACCATCTTTTCACATTTGCATACGTGCCTACAGTGCCAAAGAGTTGTCTTGATCCAGGTCTACTAAAATGATAACGGGTTGACTATGTTCTCATGTACATACGTTTAAAAAAACATGTCAGAACGCTTTTCAAATCATTTGACAAAAGTGTTTATAATATAAAAAATACTCCTAGCTCTCTCATTTTCCAAGATCTAGCGTTGTGTGAAAAAAATCAGGTTATGTTCACCTGCATGCATGTGATCTTCCTGGTGAAAATTACGAGCATGCATTTACTTCTTGCTACGTTAGATTAAGAAGTAGATCGGGAAAATCCAAATTGATTAAAATATTTTGGAAATGTATTTTATTTGCACTCGATTTACACTCAGATGAACAAATATTGTGATTACAATCATGCACATAAAAAACGGAGACAGGGGGTTGCATTTTTTTCTGAATGTGAAATAAATAATGTACGTGTGCTTGTCAAATACGGTATTTTTCAGAACTTCCAAAATTTTGTAAAAAGATATACATGTATGTATTTATTTCTATATATGCTTTATTACATATATTTTTTTTTGGTGGTGGTGATGGGAAGGGGGGGGGGGCTACAACAGTATTAACAAGTTATCGATCTTTTCAACACCTAAGAAAAAGGAGAATGTCGGATAGACGTCTATTCAATTAATGTAGCATTGTTAGCTGAACTAGTGTCACTTTTCCTCCAGGAGGTCCTGTGTCTACAATAAATGAAAAAAAAATACCCCGGATTTAGATCTGGCATTGGTGTGGTTAAACAATTCTATCATTCAGTTTGATTGGTGTAAATTCCTGTGCAGTTTTCTTGACATATGATTAAGTCAAATCAATTTACGCCAAGACTTCGGATAAAAAAAAAACATTTCAAACTACTCTTCCTTCCTTTTTAAAAATATTTTTTTACACTCATTATCATCATTGCATGTAATTTTTTGTCGTTGTTGAATAAGAAAGATTCGTAAATCTGAATTTTAAACAACAGTTGCATGTTTTATTTAATTTAACTGAAAACTTATATTGTACATGGAACAGAATAAACGTCGAAGTGTTGACAGATTTTGTGTATTTAATCATAACACTCTTAGGTCGTTTAATGTGTAATGCACATGTAGTTTGACAACAATCGGAGTCAGATATGTTATAAAATAGACAACACACATGTATAGTCATGAAAAAAAAATATATAGAAAGCACAAATGAGAAAATTCTGAGACATACATGTAAAACAAAAGATTCACCTGTAACTCAGTCAGTGCGCGATAGATTTTTTTGCAGTTTTTGTTGCAAAATAATGACGTCGCTTTTTCTATTGTGACGTAAAATTCTGTCAGATTACATAATAGGGGACAGTACAAGTGCTCTGTAAAGGCTTGAAACCCTCTTTATTACTGTGTTCCAATTCCAATAATCAATTTTATTCTGAAGGAATCATTAAAATTTCTGTAGAAAAGACTCTTGTATGAATTATTATAAATGAAACAAAGGCACTTTAATTTGTTTATATCAAAAATATGTTTTAGATGGTTAAATTTCAACAAGATAACCACTATTCAGACCAATACCTTTAATGGTTTGCCAAATTTACAGAAACTGTAAGTATATATTCATCACTTGTAAGTATACCTCCTCTAAGTACCTTGATCAAATATCTCTTGATTTTATAGGGTCATGTCTTATCTGATCATAATTAATTTTCTGTTTAACATTTGGGCAATTCATAATATTTAGATTTTTTTCATTTGGCTTTTGAGAAAACTATAACTTTCTTTTTTATTTCAATTTGTTGTACATATGATAAGATCTGGGTATGAGATCAGTATTTATCTGTGATAATAATATCATACCTGGAGTTATATTGTTTTACTGTGATAGCTATGATGAACCAAAACTCTGTAGCAATCACAAATTGATTTTATTAATGTAATTTGTATTATGATTAGTAATAGTGAGCTTAATATTGAAGACAATTTGCATTCAATTTCTTAATATTATTATTATGATAATATGTACAAATTTAAGTATGGAAAGTCAATGATTGTTTGTAAGTGTACCTGATGTCTACAACCTAATACCATTCAAACCTATGCTTAAATTCTGATTATTTGATGTGTCATTGAATGATGAAGACTTTTTAAAATACGACTTAAACCTTATTGACTGTATATAAGCCCGTCTGAGCTATGAACAGCAAAGCTCATCGAATATTTACAAATACGGAAGAGGAATATTTCTCCTGATAATTATTCAATAACATTTTTTATTTATTATGAATTTTTTTCCGATTACAACAGAATTTCTCTTTTCTTATCATAAATATCTATACAATATTAGTTACATGTACATGTAAGAGTTAAACGGATTTTCGTTTTATCAAATGTACATGTAGATGTATGTGTCGTAGAGAGGAGAAAATACAATGTGGCGTCACAAACACAAGAATTTGATTTTTAATATTCCTGGTAACTCTATGAAGAAATATATCGGAACATGTGTAAAAGGTCAAGTTCGCAGCATGTAAAATCTACTTGGAGAGAAAAGGCTTAACTGATAGATTTCAATATTTAACACAAACAATTCCTCGCACTTAGCCAATATCTTTTGAAATTATTAATATATATGCATTTGTAATTGTCTCTATCCTTAAAGAAAAAAATACGTATATTGTCATAGCATTTTTTATGATAAAGGTCCATTCAAAATCAATTTGTTTCTGCACAAAACCTATGCTAATATTGATGATGTTTCTGTTTTTTCATAACAACATATATCATTTTTTATACGAGATCTTCCAGCAATTTGAGGTTCTATTCTTAGGTTCAAATCATGCTTTTTTCATCAGCAAATCAGTTTTTGTTTTCCTTTGAAACGGAATATATTTCAAACTTTTTTTCAAATAAGAAACATTTTCAGTCTCATTTAATATGAGATATGGATATCTGTTTCATTTCGATTTTTTCCTATTGAAAGCTAGGATTTTTCTTATTGAAAGTAATTGCTGATACACAAACAATTAATTGTTATAATTTAAATTTCCGTCTCAACTTTTCTACATCATACATATGGCAGGTATACTGATGACTCGGCGTAAAACAAATTCAACTTTGAAGATCGCCATGACCCTGGTTCCCCTTTAGATATTTTCAAGCGTCCATATTCTCTTTGCTTTCAATTTTTCAATTCTCAGATTGTTTTGTTTTTATAAGCATTTCATTTGAGATTGGAATTGCTGGCTCTGCATATGCCTTTCAAATGAAATTCATCCAATAAATATTTTATTTAACAACAATAGCTAATGCAAAGGCTAAAACAAATACATAATGCTCTAAATACTTGATAATTTAACAAAGCTACATGTTTATGATCAATCCCATTCGAGTTTAAACGTAATGGTGTTTGTTGGATCCCTTTATAAATTTTTTACCATAATGTTTGAAACTGATTGAGGAATTACCAGTATGCTCATGAAAGGGTACATGATATATAATCTCTCCTGAAATCTTTTCTTAAGAGTAACATTCGCTGTAATACTTTAGCTATTGTTTTTGTTTAGGTCGTTTGTTTTAAATTGTTTAATTCGGTTTTCACGTAATTTTTATATACCATTGGTCCTTAATTTTAGTAAATAATATAGGGTGAGTTCACCATGCATCGGACACATACCTTGCTTCGGACAACTTTAGGCAATAAATTCTCTTTCAACTTAAGAGTTCTGTGTATTTATTTGTTTCTGTCATAAAGACGAAGATTTAAATTTTTAATGATATCGATTGTGTTTATCATGTTGTGATAAAAATACCCCGCAAATGGCCTTGAAGTTACGTCATATTTTACATCATCAAAGGGGAATAACCCGAAATTTATGATTTTGCAATTTTTAGAGTTATCGTTCTTTTAAATTCGACTTCCACGGAACGAGTCGGACTTTGGTGAATTTTGTCAGGGATTGGTAATTTTACATAAATTATAATTAAATTTCACTTCAATGTTTGTTTAATTCTTATTAGAGCTGGTTTTTACTAGTATGCTATTTTCACCGTACATCGGACACAAATTAACCATGCATCGGACACTTTTCGATGCAAAGGTAAGCACTACCATTTTCATACAGAACCCAGCTGACAGCTGTTTTTTGCGGAAAAAGAAAATAAAAACTCTATATTTTCAGTCAAAATACAAGTTATCGATATATGACGTCTGGAATTTTACTCAATTTATTTCTACAAACCAGAGTATGATAAACCATGAGAAAAAGGCGCGAATTACGGCATTATAAGCATTTTAAAGCATTTCTAAGGCAGAGTGAGGTCTCGAGAATCGTTCTACATTTGTGCAATAATATCGTCGATTAAATTAAAGTTTAGGGTTATTTCTTAGATAAAAGACGAAAATATATCCATATCAAGGATTTTAAAGCACTGTGATAAAGGTAGATGTTTTTCCGGTCTCCATACCGTCTGTCCGATGCATGGTGAACAATGTCCGATCCATGGTGAATTTTCAGTTTTTTCTAAAAACTCGATTTTGGGGGATATTTTCTCAATAAATGACATATAATTGTGTCCTAAATTGTTATTTTAATCACAAACTAAATGTTAAGCTCCATTTTGATAATTTTCCGTCGGTAGCGATATCGCTAGAACTTGTTGAAGTACAAGGGTATCCGATGCATGGTGAATTCACCCTATAGACATTGAATATGAAACACGTTTATTGATTTACAAGCTGTAACGGTATATACATGTATTGTATGACAACATTCACTTCAAATAATTTAAATGGAGTAGGCATTGATATAATAAATGGCAAAATTCTTAAGCAAAATACAGAAAGAGAGGTATGGGTTTACAACTTTATGATAAGTCGCCATATATTATATTTGCATAGTATACACATATTTTTGTATATACATGTAAACTGTATATGTTGTGAAATTTTTATAGGAATGACATTTTATTGCATGCTCAAAAACATTATCAAGAATAATGAATTGCATTGCATAGTAATTATACTGCATTTATATTTCTAACATTTTATTAATTACATAAAAAATAGAACTCATTTATTTGAAAATTTACATTTCAAAATCAAAGCAAGTGGCATAGACAATCAAAATTACGTTTGAAAGTATTCAATCCGATGCTTGTACAGCTCTGAAAAATTACGAGTTTCATTCATCGTTTTAAAATAGATTTTTTTTAAAGATCAATTTTCTTATAGGATATATATTGTAGAAGGACTATCTAAACTGGATTTCTGTTTTTCGTTTCGTAGATATCTAAACGGAAACATAATCACTACGATACCGCACAATGCCTTCGCCAGCTTACACAATTTAAATCTCCTGTAAGTATGTCTAGTACTTCTTGTAACAGAAACCGTCAATAGTTTATTTCTAATGTGTCTACCACAGTCCCTGCTGGTCAATAATTTCCTACCAGCATCTACTATTTGCTTCCATGGAGACATTTCTCTTCTTCGTAAAAAAAGTTTTATTTCAATTTTACTTAAAAAATTCTTTTAAAAAATATTTCTTTGATAGCTAGGACATTGCCCGTATTATTTTCAATGTATATTGCATTTCTCTTTGAGACGAAGGTGAAGATTGCCTTTTACATTATTCCCAAACGGTTTTATTGTTGTTGAACTACGTCTAATTGTGTACATATAATTCTTTGAGTCTCAAACCGTTCTCCATCCAAACAGCTCACGGAAGCTTGTTTTTGCTTAAGCTGACATATACAACAGAACAATTGCCTGAGAATGAAATATGTCATTTATTACAAATAAGAATTGGCGAAATATTGGATTCACAAACAAAGGGGGGAATCAGCAAATATCAAACAGTATAACATATAGTTACATAACATTAATAAGTCACATAAATACCCTTATCCCCCCTCCCAGCCATCCCCGTTCCCCAAAAACAAATTTTCATTAATAACAGGAATACTGATTAATTCAATAACAAACCTCAAAAAACTTTTGAAAAGCTTGTTTAATTTGGATGGCTATAAGAAAATTTGATTTGAGGCTGTTTTTCTGCCTTTATTGTTGTTGAATTAGGAATTCTATGATTTCTAGAGCAGATTTCATTAATGTGCTATTCTCCACAAAAAGGTGAAATCTTTTCTGCTTTTTTGATTAATTGCGTGCTGCTGAGTTTTGTTCCGAAATATTTTACTTTGATTTCCGTGAAGACAATGAGACAGTTTTTCCTCCAAATATGGCTTCAAATTAAGCATATCTTAAAATTTAACGTCAAGAGGAGTAATACGCCATTGACTTAACTTATCGTGACGTAGGCAAGTTTTGTTATACAATATTAATTGAATCTTTTATCCAATCAAATGACGTGTTACAACTTAAATTAAAATATTGCAACTTAAAATTATACAAAGACTGTACCTATGAAAATATTTGTAGTCTAACTTGTCCTGAAAACAAAGTGTAAATTGATGTTATATAATATGTTTATTTCTTTTCATTATATAAAACATCAATATTTAAAATTTGCTTTTTTTGCTAAAATTATGAATGGAAAACGTTCATTTTGAGGAGAACTAAATAAATATCGAAGGCATAAGGCATTCGTGTCTAAATTGTCAATAGATGATCATGATCACGTTTTCATCGCCTGGATACAAAGTCAGCTGTTTGTCGGCTGTTGTTCCTGTTGTTGTTCATGTTGTAATTTTGACAAAATAATGTAATATTAAAAGGTGATTAGCCACATTCGAGTAAAAAGACTGATTATTGTTTTAAGTAAAAGTATGTATAGGGATTTTAAAATTTATTTCAGATTGTTAGATTCCAACAAGATAAGCATAATTCAGAGCAATGCCTTTCATGGTTTAACAAATTTGCAGGAACTGTAAGTAACCTGTAACATTACAAAGCTTTAATATGTCAGATCCCAGAAATAAATATATGAATGAATTAAATATGTGTTTTTCATCAGTTAATGAGCACAAGAAATGTTCTCAAATGTATTGCATTTACTACACTAACAAGACCGGGATACTGAAACTCAGTATTAGTTTATGTGGGCAAAAGAAGACATTTATGTAAACTCCAACGGCTTAAGATAAGTAAAAAACCAAAGAGGGGGCAGGTATTCCCTTGACTCAATTTCAAATTCATTTCTTGTAAGCTTAATTCACACCTAACCTTGTGACTTTAACAATGGTATTATGTTAAATAGGGAGCAAAAATAAACATTGAACTTCATTTAGGATTTTAAATTCTTTAATAAAAATGCAATGATTCATCATTTTCTTTTAAACGTACGTTTATCAGCAATATATTTTCCAACTATGCAAAAAGAGTGTAAAATTTCAGCTTATGTTTTCGGCATCTTTGTATTTGTATTATTTCATTTTGAATAAATCAATTCATAATACCACGAATATGAAGGGTAAAATATTCATTCAAACATTATCATTTACTTAACATAACATGCCAAATTGAATACACGACTATAAAAGATTTATCGTCGATTAATAAAAACTATTTTAATATTTTTGTAGGTACATTGATAATAATACCATTACCATATTGGACAAAGATATTTTCCTGGGACTTTCAAAATTGGAGATTCTGTAAGGATACAATATATATAATTTGTCAATCATTCCAGTCTTACTGATTTCGAAAAGCTTAGCAAAGTTTATATTCTTTTTTGTATTCACATATTAATTTAATTGCTTTTTGTTGGTTTCAAATGCTAGACTTTTCAAATGATTGAGATATTATTTTAATTCAATATTTATGTGAGCATATTAAATTTTTAAACTTTTGTAGAGATTTAAATAATAATCCTCTGCACTGTGGTTGCATCTTAGCCGATTTTGTCAGGTTTTCCCAATCAAGAAACTTGACGTTAGGATTTTTATCTGAACCGAAATGTTCAACTCCCAGTAAATTGAAGGGAGTATTGTTGCAGGATCTCTCCTCAGAGGACATGAATTGTGACGTCACTACAGCAACAGCACCAGTAAAGGAAACGACAGGTAAAATGGTTATTTTACTTAAGTAGAGGCAGAAATATTCGTGGGTGATCAAAGTTAGTTTTTTCTTTGTAAGCAATTATCAACGAAAATGAATCCCAAACGAATTGTTTTCATGGGACTCTATTTTGCATTGTTTTACATGTAATTTCGAAACAACCGAATTTTATGTCCAGGAAACCTTATTAAATGACAAATCAACAAAATTTAATGTCCACCAAATATTGTGTTTCTACAGTATTTTCAGTATAGTAGAAAAAATATTCTATAGAAGACGCATAGACAAAAATACTATAATAGACACATAGACAACATATCCTATAATAGACACGTAAACAACATATTCTTTATAAGACATATAGACGGTATATATCCTTTAATAGACACATAGACAACCTATCCCAAATAGACACCTTTTCTTGAACTCAACTGAGGTTGAAAAGTCGGGTAGGTATTCAAAATAAAGTAGCATCGATGTTGATAGAGGCGGAAAGTAAATGAAACATAAGAATAAATTAAACGATGTTGTAAATTAAAAACTACTTTACTTATGTGTTTTTGTAAATATTTTACTTTCATGGAAATTGGTTACTTTGAATTATCGAGAAACATTTCCTAAAAACCACTATTACCCGCTGTATAACAAAGCATCGCCCTTCAGGGGAGCACAAGTCAACATTGCTTGACGACAGGTGACATTCCAAAAGAATTTTGACTGTGAAAACTGTATTCGTACAGTTCACTGTAATATGTATAAAGCATTCAGTATAATATGATAGATATTCCATGTATTTGTGTTTAACATTGAAAATTTTTG